CGGGCAGCCCCGCAGGACCCGGCCCTCACCTTGGCAACGCTCATCTGCCTCTGGGGCACCAGCCTCTTGCCTTGTTTGACTGGGGTCTCCTCTAGGGACACATCAACATCGTCGTCGTCGTGGTCGTCATCGTCGTCATCCTCGTCATCTTCATCATCTTCATCTTCCTCCTCCTCCTCCTCTTCCTCGGAGGAGACATCTGCAGCGGCGTGGGAAAGGGGCGCGGCCTGAGCCCAGGTCTCTGCCTGGCTCCCGTCACACCATCTGGCTTAAGAGGTGCCCGGGGAGTCCCAGCACGGAGGGGGAAGTGCCCGCCTGCCTGCCCGTGAAGCCCTCCTGGCCCCCTGACAAAGTGGAGGCGAGGGGGGGCGGGAGGCCGGGGACAGCCCCGGGGGCTGGGGGCGGTAGCGGGAGGCAGGGGAAGGGCACGCTGGGCTCTGCCTGGGTGGCCGGAGGACTCACCCTGGGAAGGAGGGTGTGAGGGAAACGGGGGTGGGGAGCCCCAGCAGCAGCGAAGGACTCCAGGCCTTATCCTAAGGGAAGTGGACGTGGCTAGGGTTTGGGGCAGGAGGGCACCTGGAGCACAGAGGCACAGCTGGGCAGAGAAGAGGCCCGGTGAGAGGACATGACAAGCGTCAACAGCACCGCGGCTTGCTAGGTCCCTGGGACTCTCCAGCTACGCACTTCATTTTAAGTTAACATTTTCAGTGCGTGCTAGTACTAGGCACCTTGCTAACTGCTTTTCCTGAACATCCCATTTGTTCCTCACTACTCTTTGAAGGTGAAACCAAGTACACCCCTACCCTCGTGTTACAGCGGAGGGCTGCAGTCCACAGGGATAGTGCAGGGAGGTCAAGGAGAACTGGGGTACGACCCCTGCCTGTGGCCTTCCAGCAGGCTACCGGCAACCATGTTGCCTTTGGGGATTTTCTCTAATCATTCAAGAATCCCTCTGCCCAACCGACGTGGCTCTGCGGTTGAGCATCAACCCGTGAACCAGAAGGTCCCAGGTTCAATTCCCAGCTAGGGCACATGCCCAGGTTGTGGGCGTGATCCCCAGTAGGGGGCTTGCAGAAGGCAGCCCACTGATGTTTCTCTCTCTCTGTCCCCTCTCCCTTCCTCTCTAAAATCAGTAAAAACATTAAAACAAGAAGGAATTTCTCAAGTGTCTGAGTATTTATGATGTTTGTGGCCCTGTGCTAGGCACTGCACTCTCAGACCTTTCCCAGGTCCAAGCTCGGACTTACCATGACATTCCTGGCCACTGAGGAACACGGGTCCAGAGCCAGCCCGGAGCTGAAAAGTGACTGGAGGAGAAAGCTCCAGGCCCATCATGACCTGCAGGGGGAGGGGTGTGGGGGCAAGAGCAGAGAAGACAGGGTCACTCGGACACTACTTGGCTGGGGGCTGGCCTCCTGCAGACACACTCAGTTTATTCCTCAAACCCGAACCACGCACACCTCATGGGCTCTCTGGACCTCACTGCGCTCTCAGCCCCCTAGACCTTTCTGGCGAAGGGGACTCTGATGGAGAAGAATTCGAACCTGGTCATCTCATTCTTGCTGAGATCACAGATGGGCGTCCAACCTGAGGGGCAGCTGCTAAATAGAATCTTACTGCTATAGACTAAATTGTGTCTCCCAAAGTCTTATGTTGCAGCCCCAACCCCAATGTGATGGTATCTGGAGACGAGGCCTTTGGGAGGGGATTAGGGTTAGATGAAGTCCTGAGAGTCATCATGGGATTAGTGTCCTTTTAAGATGAGACTGGAGCCCTGGCCAGTTTGCCTCAGTGGGTACAGCATCGGCCCATGGACTGAAGGGTCCCGAGTTTGATTATGGCCAAGGGCATGTACCTTGGTTGCAGGCTCCAGTCCCAGTTGGGGTGCATGTGGGAGGCAACCAATCGATGTGTCTTTCTCACATTGATGTTCCTCTCTCTTTCTCTCCCTTTCACTCTCTGAAAAGCAATGGAAAAAATATCCTCAGGTGAGGATTAAAAGAAAAAAAAAAGATGAGACTAGAGAGCTAGCGCTCTCTCTCCCCCCAACCCCGCCCCCGCCCCATGTGAGGTTAGGACACAGAGA